AGCATGCACATGCACGCTGGCCATCTGGTCTTCCAGGTTCTGGCACGCATGTGCAGATCAGCTAGCCAGTGTGCATGCGTGCGCCGGAAACCACAAAAGTGTCAATGAAGTGCCCCCCCATCTCACCACTTCTGCCAAAGGAACATGACCGTTTCCCAGCTGGCACACCTATTACTCCGGTGCTGGACAGACATTCTCCTCTTCGACCACCAGCACAGGAGTCAGCTGCACTCCCCATGAAGAGCGTGGCCTCCTAGCTTCTGCCTTTCATTTCAGCAGCACTGCCACTGCTGCCCTCCCACTGTTCTCCCGCAACTCCTCTCAATAGGACAGGCACCACTTTGACAGCCATCGGAAAACATGCCAGAAACTTTCATTCTCATTGCAAAAAGTGTTTGCCAGTCTCCTGCTGCCCCCACTAAACTACTTTCTACTTAATGAGACCATGTTGTTCCATAGAACTTGCATGCAAATGGAATGAGACAGAGAGAGGAGGGGGGGCTCTCCAAACTCTGTGTGTGTGTTGGGAGGAGAGAGTGATTTTCAGCCAAGCCTCTGGCAGGTGCAGGTAACAGGAGCTGCCTAAGCAGTGAGGTGGTGGTGGTGGTGGGGTGAAGTATGAAGCAAGGCAGGGAGGTGTGGAGTCGCCCCCCCACCTCCCATTGGCTTATCTGAGCACCCTTCCAGCCAGGCACTGAAGCGTGCAACTGCCGTTGCGCACGCATGCACACACATAAACACACACACAAACACAGAGGGGGGAGGGTTTTTTTCCAAACTCTGTGTGTGTGTGTGTGTATGTGTTTGTATGAGAGAGCGAGTGTACAATCCCTGCTTTAGTTGGAGCATTTAAGCTACTGGCAATGGCAGTGGAGGAAAGGGGCAGGAGCTGTTTTTCTCTTCGTCTTCCCCACTGAAGCAGCAGCAGCTACCTAACGACTGCCCCCTCTCCAACCAGCCAGCCAGCCAGCACCATCTGACCTGCACCCTGCCTGGCCAGCTGGGGCAAACCCTCGCTGTTCTTCTCCTCCTCATCCTCCCCACCCAAGGTGGAGCAGTCTCATTCCTGTCCCAGCGCAGCAAACTCTGGCTGGCTGGAGGCAGCTGTGAATGGCCTGGCTCCACAATGCTTTCCCACTCCATTCAGCCTCCAAACAGTAAGGCTGGCTCATGTAAGCGAGCAGTGCACCAGGGCCATGGACAGTGTTGATTCCTGCACCCAGCCGATTCCAATCCCATGGCCGGCCTTGGAAGCCCCCCACCACTTCTGACAAGGGAGCGTGACTGCTTCCCAGCCAGTGCGCCTCTTACCCCAGCTCCAGATAGCTGTTCCTCCCACATGAACTCAGTTCCTGTGCAGCTCTGCCACCCCAGAAGAGTGGGGTGATGGGCAGGAGTGACTGGCTGGCCCCTGCAGACTCTCCCATAGTGGCGAGCTGGGCCCTCAGCGGCATCTCCATGCATGAGAGCTGTGCTCTCCTCCAGTCCTCCTGGGGCAGCTCACCTCCCCAACAGTGGCTCCTCTTCCAGCATCCTGGCCAGAAGTGGCACCACGAGAACCGCTGCCAGCCCCCTGCACTGCTGCTTACAGCTGGGATGCTTGAGGAGGAAGTGGATGAGTTGCCATTGGGGAGGTGAGCTGCCCCAGGAGGGTCAGAGGAGAACACTGCTCCCCACGCATGGAGATGCTGCCAAGAGCCTGACTTGCTGGTGGGAAAGTGGCTGTGGGGGCTGGCCAGTTGCTCCTTCCCCTTGCTGCTGCTGCTGCCACTGCTCTTCTGTAACATCCAAGCTGGCCAGGTGCTGTGGACTGTGGATGCATGTCAGTGCTGTGAGCTGGAAGCCTAGGGCCGTGCAAAAAGCCCATTTGGGAGGGGACAGCTTTGCTCTCCTTGGAAGCAACTGCTGGGATCCCCTCTCTGTGTCTTTGGGCATTGCCCGTTGCTCTTCCAGGTTCTGGCATGTGCGTCAGCCAACTGATCTTCGCACGTGCATGCATGCCACACATGTACGCACCAGAATCAGGAAGAGCAACAGGCGACAGCTCCACGTCCCCAGAGAGATGGTTCCGCGTGCTACTTCTGCACACATGCCATAGGTTCGTCAACATTAATATATAAGAAATAACTATAGCTCCACAGAAATTCAGCAGAACAATTATGAAAACCAGCTTAAAGGCATTTGGATTATTATAAAAGGGAAAAAATAACATTGCCATAGGTATATGGTACAGGCCACCCAACCAAACAGAAGAAATAAATGAACTTTATGCTAGTCAATTACCACAGTATGTAGGAAGCACTAGTAATAAGGGACTTTAACTACCCTGACATCAATGGGGAGAGAACTGCTACACCTAGTAGAAGATCAACAGATTCCAGCTTTGTCTATCAAAAGATAGAGAAAGGGAGTCAATCATACTGGATTTAATTCTTTCTAACAGAGATAAAATGAGAAGGCATTGAAAGCACTGAAGTTACAGGAACCTTGGGGGGGGCATGTACACTGTAGTGGTGCAGTGGTTAGAATGCAGTACTGCAGATACTTCTGCTGACTGCCAGTTGACTGCAATATGGCAGTTCAAATCTCATCAGGCTCAATTTTAACTCAGCCTTCCATCCTTCCAAGGTCGGCAAAATGAGGACTTATATTATTGGGGGCAATATGCTGATGTTGTAAACTAGTTAGAGAGGGCTGTGAAGTAGTATATAAGTCTATTGCTACTGGAATTCAACATTATGCAAATACAAGCAATAGAACAAAATCAAATTAGAGTCTTGGGCTTCAAGATAACTGATTTCAATAAACTTAGGACAGCTTGGGAAGGATTCCATGGATAAGAAAGTTCAAGGGAACTCAAGAAGTTTGGGAAACTTTGAAAAGTGAGATTATAAAAGCCCAGTCTAGCACAATTCCAACAAAGAAGAAAAATAAGATACCTCAAAAGAAACTAGCATGGCTGCACAAAAGAACGATGTGTAAATGTTGTTTCTCTCTATGTATCTTTGGATGGCTGATATATCTGAATGCCAAGCTTCCAGGAATTCCATAGTATTTTTGGATTTAGCTTGGTCCCAGATGAAACTATAATTGAGTCTGTTTATGTGTTGTTTGATTTCATTGTATCTTCTCATTGCGAGTTAATATTCACAGATGTTCTCTGCTAATCTTCTGCCTATCTGTCCTACATAGTAGCTATTATAGTCCTTAAATTATGTATTGTAGATCAGGTTCCCCCAACCCCCAGTCCATAGCTGTGCTGAGCCACGGCCCATTGGAACCAGGCTATGCAAGTGGCAGGTGAATGTGTGAACCTGCATTTGTATAAGTAGAGTGCAAGTGTAAAAAACCATTCCCTTCCCCTTTCCCACTTGTTATTCCTGTTATTTCTTCTTGGGCTACTCAAGTCTTTTGGCTTTACTTACTGAGTTTCCCAAAAACAAGACTTGGACTTACATTTTGGGGGGCTCTAAAATAAGTACTAGGGTTTATTTTTTGGGATGTCTTATTTTTGTTCATGTACAGGTGGTGAATGTGGGGGTTTATGGGAGTGGGAGCACTGCTACTGCTAGGATGGCCCTCTCTATCCCACTATCTGCTTGCCCACAGCTGCGATAGGCCAAGTTCTCAACGCATCTCGGTCTCTCCCCACCCTGCCTGCTGTCCCTGCTGCTGCTGGGACATTGGAGCTAAGATCTTGCTCAAGCTGCTGCTATGACAAGCAGAAGGCCATGCAGTGCATCAGGATCACCTGCCCCCCATGCCTCTGCCTGCTGCTGGTGCCGCCTTGTGTCAGAATCACCTGCCTCCATTAATTCAGGTATCAATCCATCCCACTGTCTCTTGACTTGCCAGACATGCACTGAAGCTGCACAGGAAAAGAGAGGGGCGCAGCCCGAAGGTAATGGTGGGTGAGGCAGTATGAGCAGTATGGCTCTACTAGTGCCCACTAGTGAAGGACTCTGACAGGCTAGTGGTGGGGACAGGTGCTCCAGAGGTTGTAGATCTGGGCCAACTTCAGGGCAGGACCAGCCAAGCAGAGTGACTGAGAGCAACTCAGCCGGGAGGGCAAAGAGCCCCCATAAGACTAGCAGCAGAAGGTGCAGCAGACCCAGCAGCTGGGCAGAGGCAAAAGGGGAAGGCGATTCTGATGTGCTCAGCCAATCATGTGATTAAGGGCCCAAGTTGCATACAGGATGAGCTCAGGGTGGCACTTTTCCCACATTGCTGATTCCACCACTACAGAGTCATGCTTTGTGCCCCTCCCATGCACAAGCAATGCTTGGCGCCAAAGCCTGGACACTGGAGTCATGCTGTCAGGAAGGGAAGGGGCTAAGCCTCCATGAGGTAACTGGGGAAGATAAAGAGCCACTGTGGTAAGAACCAGGATTGCTGCCCATGTTTGAGAGAACATGTGATTGGTGGGTGGTCATTGGCTGTTTCTAGCCTGGAGGGTGGGGAAGACAAGTTTTGTCTCTAGCTTCATCATCACTGCTTCCTCATCCGGGGCGGGGGGGGGGAGGGTTGTTACAGCTTCATCAGGCCTTTAATTTATGTGGGCTTCTGAACCAGTATACCCAGAAGTAAGATAGAATACCCTCCTTTTACTTATAATTTTTTTTGCAATGTTTTATTTTCTGCCCTTTGGTCTAACTGTATTTGGGAGATTTACACATCTGCCGTATTCGCCCACTCCATCCCATTTTTCTGCTTGCCCACGGTTGCTGCCAGACACTGTTGACCCCTGCAAGCTCACTGACTCCTGGTCTGGCCATGACTCCCCTTGCGCTGATGATGATCTTTACTAGGGCTTATTTTGGGGATAGGGCTTTTAAAAAATCAGATTAGGGCTTATTTTTGGGTACGGCTTATTTGCAGGAAACACAGTATTATATATTGGATGGCTTTAGTTGGTTTGTGTGTTATTGTAACATCTTGTGATTACAATAATCTGTTCATACATTTTGTTGGTAGTGCTATAGAAGGAGGAATAATCAGGGACTTTTTGATAAAGTATTTATTATAAAGCATTTATATCAATCATCTAAAAACATAAGAAATGTGTACTTGCTAAACTGAAATATGCTGCTACAAGGAATATCTCTTACAGCACTGAATCTAGAGAATTTTGTAACCATAAAAGCAGGAAGAAACAACATGGGACTTTACTAAATTAAATATTATATCATGCTTCAAATGTAATGTCAACATTTAAATTAGCAAATATAATAGAATCCCTATATGAATCAATAAAAAATAAGATCAGTTTTGTTAATATGTAGTGCAATACACAAATAAATAGTGGGAAATATTATAGGCCTTTCCATCTTCACAATACCATTTAACTGATGTATTTGAATATAACAGCATATGTCAAATGATTCCATAATTGTTTTAGTATATTCTTTAACAAGTTTATAGTTAGGTAGATGAATGCTGATGGTTTATGTGATGGTTAGTATCACATAAGTGATACTAAATAAGTGCCAAAATCCTTACTTTAAATAGCTATACTACATTTTAAAAAAACACTAAAATCTATATGTGAACATATGCACAATCTTTTTAAAACTTGAATACATTTCTAAAATGCCTGCTGATATTTTAGTGTTTAAAACAGATTCAGACATCACAAATCAGTTTACCTCACCCGTGTTTTCCAGTTGGAGGATAATTCCCAGCCATCCCAGCTTTTAGTCATACTGTTTGGAATAAGAAAAGTGGCAATCCCAATCTATCAATGGAAAAGGCTGCTACATGAAATTAACTGTCCAAAGATAGGTGATATTTTACAATATGGATCTATTTGAATCTCTATTCAAAAACATGAATGTATTCAGGAAATATGATATATCCTACCTATTGTTCATGTAACACTTTATTTTTCTAAAGGGCTGTGATTTATATATCACTCCATCATTATAAAATTCCCTTTATAATTTAAATGTTAAACATATGCTTGGTATAAAAAGTCTACACACCTCTGAGCATTTTTATATGGATCATAAAGTCTAATAATATTGTGTCATTAACTAATTTAGTCTATAAACTCCACACACAGAAGCTTCTCCTAGTGTTTGGGGGCATCAGCTACAAGTCTTTCCCAAGCGAATCAATCTCATCAAGTAGGAAGTCCATGTCTTCATGGATCACCTGGGGGCTAATGATGACCTGGCGGAAGAAATTAACTTTTCCACGATGAGGTTGATAACCCAGCATCATGCTACCCTTTTTCATCATTCTTTCTTTAATGATGGGCGCAACCTGAAATATAGAAGTGAAATATGCATTCAGAATAATAATTAGCAAAGAAATATTTGATATAGGATAAGAATCACAAATAAAGAAAGAAAGGGGAAGCAACCATTTGCATGGTTTTATGCAAGTTGTATTAAGACTTTTTAGGGCTGAAGTAGCTTTTTAGAAAGTTAATCTATGTGCTATACTGAAACTTTCCATTCCATACTTGATACTCCTTTACACGAAAATCCAACTTGTTGACTGACTGGTCAATTGATTTCCCATCCATGTATAAACTGTATTATGCAACAAAAACTTTCTATACCCAACACTATCTAACTAAATAAATAAGAAAAACACTATCTAATTAAATAAATAAATAGTGAATCTAGCCAAAGACCAAAGCAGCCTAATTCCAATTGCATTTCATAGTGTATTTCCCATGTATTCTAAGCCCTTCAATAAAAAATATAGGATATTTGATATAAAAAAGAGAAAAGTATAACAAAGTAATTCAAAAGTGTCAATACTGAAAAAGCATAGAATGGTGTAACTTTATGGACAGAAATCAACATGCATCTTTAAATACTATGGTGCACAATTATTAATATATACAGATTTATGTTATCAAACTTACCCCAGTTCATTTATTTGGTTGACTTGTTATTTTGAAAGAATGATTCTATAATATATTTTCTGTTGTGCTGGTTTTTTGTTGTTATTAAAGTAAAAAGTAAACAGAACAATATTAAATAATCCCCCAATCAGTTAATATAATGAGTTTAGGAACATTAAATTAATAAGAAGAAAAGGAATTATAGGAATTCCAAACCCAGCAAAGGAAAAATAAGCAACAGAGAAAAAATAATAATTGTGACATATGCATAGTGCCTCTCTGGCACCATGGCTAAGAGCTATGGTTTGTTTGAAAGTCTGGATAAAAATATTGGACAGGTCGAATAAGAACTCTTTGCTTTCTGGCATCTTTCATTTTACAAACACATAGGTATTCTTTGACTTACAACTGTTCGATTAGCAACTGCTCAAAGTTATGATGGGGCTGAAAAAAAGTTACTTACAACTGATGTTTATTCTTACAATCATTGTCATGTCCCTGAAATGACATGATTGTGATTTGGGTGTTTGGCAATTGTCATATGTTTTACTATAGTCACAGCATCTGGAATCAACATTTGTGACCTTATCAGCCAGCCTCTATCAAGCATAGTTAATGGGAAAGCTACCATGGAAAGCGCAAGTCATGTTCACATATTGTCTTACTTAATGATTGCAGCAAAAAAGGTTGTAAAATTGAGTGCAGGCGTGTGATGCCTCACTTAACAACTACTCTACTTAAACAGTGAATTTTCTAGGTCCTGTTGTGGATGTAAGTCAGGGAGTACATCAGGGGTGGGATTCAGGTTTTTTTAACAACCGGTTCTGTGGTTGTGGCTTAGTTGGTGGGTATGGCTTGGTGGTCATGTGACTGGGTGGGTGTGGCCAACTTGACATCACTCATGTCAAGGGGTGCTTCTCTTCACCTGTCCTCTCATGACAGTGGGGATGCTGCAACGGTCATAAGTGTGAAAAATGGTCATTAGTCACTTTTTTCAGTGCCATTGTAACTTTGAATGGTCACAAAATGAACTGTTGTAAGTCAAGGATTACCTGTACAAAAATACAAAAAGCTTCTTTGCTTGTAAAAAGCTGCCCTAAATACTAATCATTAGATTAAAAATACCTGCAAGCCGGAATTACAAATCAGGCAGGGTGCCAGAGCACCTTGAGGAATGAGAAAATAGTTAAAATGCAGTGATAACAATCAAGCAGCCAACTCTTGCTCATAAAGTGAAACCCTTCAGCAGAGAGGTCATTTAAGCTCTCCAGAAAAAGCACACCCAGGAAAAGCAATCCTTAGATCCATTTGCACCACTTAAAGATACCAGCTGGTCTCGCTCACCTCACAAGATATCCTAAGGAATTCATCCCTATTTAAGGATCGCATGACCCCCAGAAAGGCAGTAAAAAAACCAGTGCCAAGCTTGCATCCTGCCTATTGGAAGTACAGTGCTAGATAGTACTAAAGCAGTGAAGGCAGACCCCCTCCCCAGATAGAAGAAGAAACCATGAGGCAAGAAAAAATTCAAACACAATACAAATAATTAAATCACAACAGTAGATGTTGCTTGTTGAAGCTGAATAGGGAAAACTATCCCATCAATAAACACAGGATTAAACATCACCAAGCACAGAGTTAACCTTCCCCAAAAACCAGTTTTAGACCAAAACTCAGAAAGGGTATGTACACTCATGTTTGAATGTCAATCTTTCTCGCTAGCCAAGAAGTCTTGCTGAATGTCACTCATCTTGGTTCCCTGTCACTAAAGCTTTGCTTCATTATTCAATTATTTCTTCAAAGTGCTGATTGTCCAGGGAACTACAGTATTTCCTCCCAACAGCAGTCTAAAAATCTTAAAACAACCCTTCCCCTTTAAGAAAGCCAAGCCCCCAAAGCTCCGGAGACAGGAAGTCTAGGCTGTCTGCCAAGAATGTAATAAGGGTGAAAAAACAAAAAACAAAGGGAGATTGCTTCTAACTACCAGTTCTCCGAACTGCTTAGAAAGTTAACAAGGGGTTCTATAGAACCGGATAGAACTGATAGAACCCCATGTAATCGTCTAACAACAGGTAATAAGTTTATTCAGAATTAGATGCCATGTTCAACCTACGTTCCTCCTGCTAAACTACATCCCCACACACTTGTTCAGAAATTTATTTTAGTCCTACAAATAGTTTGTACATTCCAAGATGTGTTTACAATACAATATGGTCTCTTCTAACTACAGGGTAGAGAATTCATAGTCCAACTGCATGTGGAAATGATAAGGTTCATAAAGGCCAGCAGTGCAGTTCCATTAAAATTACAGGAAAAATGTCACCCAAAAGAAGCAAAATCAACTCTTCTCAGTCTCTGCTGAAAACCATAGCCTGATAAGTAGCCATTTAGAAAATAAATACTTGCCATATCTCTTCAACATGCTCTGGGGGACTTCTTTACAAAGAACAAATACCCTGCTGACTCTGTTTTGTACTCATTTTCTAGACGTGAAAAAGCCAGAGGCAGTCTCTGGAAGAAATAGGATGCTGTCTTATTTGACTTAATAGTGTTACATGTCTCTTACAACATTTGCAAGCTACATTTCACTTGATAAAACTTAAATATTAATTTTATATAAATATTAGACACTCACAATATATTTTGCAGTTAAACCACATGTTCAATATCAGTCCATTAATGTATAAGGCAATTGCCTTAAAAATATCACTGGGTCTTGGTGCTCCAAAACACAGAGTGATTCTGTCTTGCCATGAATTGAGTTGAAGCCAGTTTCTTCCCATCCAGTGCCTTGAACCTTCAGGCCCTTGAACAGCATTCATGATTCAGCTGGACAATTTTAAATGCACCACCAGTTTGATGATATGCTTATGTTCTCCTGAGTTTACCATTAATATCCATTAATAGCCTAAATAAAAGTCTAAATAAAAATTACATTTACTTTAGAGAGAAATAGAAATAGGCATCTATAATTTTCATTTTAATTTGTCTCTGCCTATTTCTACTTCTCTCTAGAGTAAATGTAATTTTTATTTAGACTTTTATTTAGGCTATTAATGGATATTAATGGTAAACTCAGGAGAACATAAGCATATCATCAAACTGGTGGTACATTTAAAATTATCCAGCTGAATCATGAATGCTGTTCAAGGGCCTGAAGGTTCAAGGCACTGGATGGGAAGAAACTGGCTTCAACTCAACTCATGGCAAGACAGAATCACTCTGTGTTTTGGAGCACCAAGACCCAGTGATATTTCATCTCTGACTCTAGATGAGGTGGCATTCTCCTGAACTGTGCACAGTTTGGCAACTCTGATGGCATTTACTGAAGCAACAGCCATAGCTGGGAGGAGGAGAGTTTCCCCCAGATTTGTCTGGCATGCCATTTGTGCCCTTTCCTGGAACAGGAAGCCTTTGTTATGATCACCCATGTCTTAATCAGTTCCTATTTGGATTACTGCAATGAGCTTCTACAACTGGTCCATAATGTTGGGGCATGGATAGTGATGTTTACTTATGTAACACCTCTACTGCATATGTTTCATTGGCTTCCTGTTTCCCTCTGAATGCTGGTTATTATCTTTAAAGTGTATATGGCAAAGGTCAGATTATCTGCAGGATTGCTTCTCCCTAAGGACATCTAACAATTCTATGTTATCAGATAAGGTAGCAAGCTCCTAGTGCCTTCCCTTAAACATTGCTATTTTATGAGATCTTGTAAGTTATTTTTCATGGCAGCCCTGCTCTATAGACCCCCTTCCCCTTGAAGTTCAGCAGGCATCCTTCCAAAAAGCAGTTAAGACCTGGTTCAAGTGCTGAGATAGGCTTAGGTAGATAAGAGGATTTAATGGGGAACTTTAACTTTGGTGCTGGATATTTAACATATTAGTTTTATTGGGAGATCTTGCTTTCAATGTAAGATGGGTGACTATAAATATTTCAATTATATAAATACATTTCTAATTCAGGGAATAATGCAAATAAAGAAGAAAGATAATGAGGAATCCTGCTGTTTCAAGATAGTGAAAATTCATAAAATTCTCAGAGTGTAGTTTACATCTCAGAGAAAGATTTATTAAATTCCACAGAGCTTCCTTCTGCTTTCTTGGATATATTTCAAGATGATATGCGCAGATTATTAATTTATGTTAATTTGAAAAATGTGCAGCTGGTTGCAATTACTTGAGAAAAAATAATCTAGGGGGGGAGGCTCTAATTGCCCAACCTCTTATTTCTGCAAATGTCATTGGCCTATTTGAATTGCTCAGCTCTCCTCTGACAAAAATAGGATCTCAAATATTTTATAACAAAATGTGACTATATTAAAAAAAACATCTAATTTTACAAGGCTTTCTATTGCAAACCCAATTCTACCCAATTCTGAGAAAATATTGGTAGGTTCCGAAGT